CCAAGTTCTGTTCTCAATACAAGCACAAATAAAAACAATCCCTGTTCCACATATTAACTTTGCAAATACTTGGAAACTCTTATTATGTCCCCCACTGAATTTTCTCTTCTCTAGACTAAACAACCCCAATCCTCCAATTGCTTCTAACATACATAAATTAAAGTGTCTTTACTATCCCGGATGCTCTTCAGCTTATCAATGTCATTCCTAAAATGGGGTGCCCAAAATTCAACCAAATACTCAGGATGTGTTCCAAACCTGTGGCTATTTGAATTCCTCCTATACTTCTATTTGCTTTCTTGGCTGCTGTATCTCACTGGTCATTTGCAAACCACTCAAACCCTCAGATCTTTTTCAGATGAACTAACCTAATAGTCACTCTTCCCCCATTTCGTACTGGTATAATTGATTTTTTAAAAAATTGTTATTGAATTTCATCTTTTTAGAATTAGCCCAATGTTCCTTTCCATGTGAATTTACTTGTTTACTGTGTTCTATGGACCTTAGGCTGCTCACATCTTACATTTGACCCCCTCTCCAACCAGAAGAGCCTAAGAAGTGCCCAGATGGGTCACCTTGCCTCATTATCAAGCTTGTATATTTATTTAGTGACCTTCCTGGCTCTGTTAGTAGTCTTTGCCTGTTGAAACTCATCCTTTATAGCACACATTCAATGCCATCTCCTCCATGAAGCCTTTCCTAAATCCCCTAGTCGGTAATGACTTTTTCTCATTGACTAAATTGACTAAATGCAGAACTTTGCACTGCATCTTCCTAATGAATTTATTGTATATTAATTTACATTCGGGGATGACTTTTTCTCATTGACTAAATTGACTAAATGCAGAACTTTGCACTGCATCTTCCTAATGAATTTATTGTATATTAATTTACATTAGAGTAGTTCCATGAGTGGTAGGATTTTATCTAAGATTTGTATCTCCCTCAACACTCAACACCATGCTCTACACACAGGTACTTTTAAAAAATGTTCATTAAATTGATTAATCCAAACTCTTGACCCTTTTCCCCATACCCTGACCTCTGTTACTATGGCCTCTTGATGACTGCATCCTTGCCTGGGCCTCAGATGGCCTGTATTCTGCCTGGAATATGATCTTGCTCTGGTTATTCCATTCCTACGGTCTAGAATCTTGCCTTCCCAGCTATTTGTAGACTCTGGCTAGCCTTGACCTCCATTACTGCTGTGGCTTTTGCCTTTACCTGTTGTCTGGTACTACCTCAGAATTTCTGCCTTGCCTCCACATTCTCTCTTAGGCTAGCATGAATGACAATGATACATTATATGTTCCATATTGGACAAATTCCACTTCAAAACCCAAACCTGAGAATCGACAAGCTAATCTCATTTTTGGCACTTAAAGACATTTGTCAGGAGCACGACCAAGGGTATATTCCTTCACCCCAGTCTTGTCTGTAGGAGAGAATTTATGAGTAATGATAAAAATTCTCTAGGCAAGGAACAGAGGCAATGTGGTATGGTAGAAAGAGTACTGTCTTTGGAGTCAGTAAGTCTAGGTTCATATGGCTCTGGGTGACCTATGTCACCTTGAACAAGTCACTTTTAAAGTCCTGGGGCCGGTAGACCCTCAACTTAAATAATGAAGGGGTTGTAGTGAGGTCCCTTCCAATGCTGTATTGATGATATCTGCACAAACATTCCCTCTCATAGAGAATGTGAACTTGTTTGGCCTCAGGTTTGGCCCTTTGTGAAGCAAGAATTGAGAAGACTGGATAACTTCTGAGTTTCCTTCAAGTTCTAATATTCTGTAACTCTATAAGGAGGTGATCAGCCCCAACCCCCACCCCCCTCTCCCTATCTATCTCTCCTTCTGAGAGCCTGTTTTAAACAGTGGGGAGTGTGAAGCTGTCTCGTCTCGGAGAGCAGGCCCAGGACATCTGATGGATTCACATGTGTTTCCATTCGACCGAGGATGTTGTAGGAAGCATTCCTCATAAAACATGAAATTATTACAAATGGGATCATGAAAACTAAGTGGAAAGGGAACTGATGTCACTGGTTTCTCCAGGGCTTTTTATGAGGAGCTTCTGCTAACACTCATAAACATCTCCTAAAAGGGTAGGGACTGTAAGAGCTTCTGCCTATCCTGAGCTCCCTGACCTGCTCAGTTTCCAGTCAGATCAAAACCCTCTTGAAGAGCAGGATGAAACTTCTGTCTGGTGTCGAGGACGTCACTCCGGAAGCCACACTGGGTTTTTGAGGGGAAAGAATTCACAACTAAGAACGCTTCTCTTTGCAGTAGTCACAAATGAGTAGGAACTTGGGCTGAAACAGACTAGTAGCAGATAGAAGAGTGGAGGCAATATCTATAGAAATGTGTCCTCATGAGGAAAGAGAAAGCATGGGGCTTCTGCTGGGAACCCCAATAGGAATTCAAGAGTGCAGAAGTCATCTTCTGGGAAGCAGAGCTGCTCTGTCTCGATCACTGTCCTTCCTATTCCCCCATCCCTGTCAAAGTTCTTTTCTCACTGAAACTAGTATCAATCCCATTGCCTGTGCCTGGCTGCCTTGATTTCCCCTCTCATTCTCTGGCTAGTTGGGTTTCTCATAATGAAGGACCTCTCTGGCTAAGAGAGATGCTCCTTGACAAAGCATTTGAAGGTCTTTGCCACAAGCCATTTTTACCATCCCATGTGGGATTTGATTCTATAATGTAATGACATGGCAGCATGGTATAGTAAAGAGAAGAGTTAGGTTTTGAATCTGAAAATCTGGCTTTGAAACTGGGTTTTGCCTGTGTCAATGGGCAGCTTGGTACACCGAAAAGTGTGCTGGATGTGTCAAAAATCAGAGGACGTGGATTCAAATCCTGGCTCAGCCTAAATGATATTTTCAAGTCACTTAACCTCTCAAGACCTCAGTTTCTTATCTGTAAAATGAAGGGGTCCAATTAAATGGATTCAAAGGTCCCTTTCAGCTCCAATTATATGGTCCTAAGTAACTTACCATCTCTGAGCCATCATTTCCTCATCTGTAAAATGGGAATATTGAGAGGGCTGCAGTGGAAAAAGCACAGCATTAGGAAGTCAGAGGTCTGAATTCTAGTCTTGACCCTGCTGCTGACTAGCTGTGTGATCTTGGACAAGCCGATGCCTCTCCGAACCTTGGGTTCCTCTTTTGTAAAAATGATTGGGTTGGACCAGATGACACTGAAGAGCCCTTCTAGCTCATTCTGTGACATTTTATATTCTGGTCTCATTACTGCAACTTTTCCATCAAGAAGGGCTGATTGAGAAGGACTGAGGTACAAAAAGGATACCTTCTATTCACCCTGGGTTGGACTACAGAGCAGTACCCAAGAGGACTGGGGGTGTTCCTATGCCACAAATTCACCACTTACTTAAAAGACATTGGCGTCTTTGTGAAGAGCAGAAACCTAACTACAGTCTTCAAAGTATTCAAATCTTCCCCTCCTCATTCCTAACAGTGTTAGACATCACTCAATCAGCATATCTATCATAGTAAATAGAGTGAGGGAATTCAAATTTGATCACAAATATAAATTCCACCTCAGAAATTTACTAGTTGAGTAGGCATGGTGATTCACTTAATTAAAGCCTCAGTTTTATCACCTGTAAAGTGGGGATAACATTACAAGTCAAAGGGTGTTCATAAAGAATACCTCAAAGGGTGGTCACAAAGAAAGTTATTTTTCGGGGCAGCTAGGTGGCGCAATGGATAGAGTTCCGGCCTTGGAATCAGAAGGACCTGAGTTCAAATCCAGATTTAGACACTTGACACTTACTAGCTGTGTGACCCTGAGCAAGTCACTTAATCCTGATTGCCCCACCAAAAAGCAAAAATAAAAAAGTTATTTTTCAAATCTTATAGCACTATATAAATTTTAATTATTATTATCATTAACCTAAATTTAAATTTGATAATCATAAATGGTCCCTAGAGCAAGAGTCTCATACAACATCCAATCTTGAAGGAAGAGAAAGAAAATTGATTGAGGTGGACCAGGATTCTGACTGAAAGTCCCAGTGGGGCTGTACATCCCTGGAAAGTACACTACCAAGGTAATGTACCAGGGATGTACACATTAATAATGAGGTTGATGCATTGCCAGAGCTACCTCGGTGTTTGGGAGCTCCAAAGGAAATTATGGGAGAGAAGAGGTATTAGACTGACTACCAAACTGAAGGTCTACAGAGCCATTGTGCTGACCTCATTGTTGTATGCATGTGAAACCTGGACAATATACCAGCACCATGACAGGAAACTGAACCACCTCCACTTGAATTGTGTTAGAAAGATTATGAAGATTATCTGGCAGGATAAGATACCAGATACTGAGGTCCTTTCTCCAACTAAACTGCCAAGCATTCAAATTCTGTTTCAGAGAGCACAACTCTGATGGGCTGGCCACACTGTTCAAACGCAAAACATACGCTTGCCAAGAAGACTATTTTATGGAGAACTCACACAGGGCAAGTGCTCACATGGTGGTCAGAAGAAGTGATACAAAGACACTCTCTTAAGAACTTTGGAATTGATTATGTGACGTGGGAGACACTGGCACAGGACTGCTCAGAATGGCATGCCCCCATCAGAGAAGGTGCTGTGCTCTATGAGCAAAGCAGAATTGAAATAGCTCAAGAGAAACACAAGATGAGCAGATTTAGAGAATCTACCCCAAATGTTCACACAGACTATTTGTGCCTGACCTATGGCAGAACATTCTGAGCTCATATTGGTCTGATCAGCCTCAGTCGAACGCTCTAAAACTTGACTCTTAGCATAGTGATTTCATTTTGGTTCTCTTCGTAAACAAAAGACAACTGATCAGCAAAGGAAAGCCAGTGATTTCAGGAAAGAAACTTTTATTTGGATTTAGACCAGTTTTCTTTGTTCAATGGGAACATCCTAGAACTGCCCTGTTTTTCTGGGCCCCAGGCCCGGCTGGAGCTAGATTGGGCCTCGGATTCAATGACACCACCACAAAGAAGTACGTCTAAACTTCCACAGACCTCTCAGATGAAAATGAACGTTTCTTGGTTGGTATGTCATCTAGCATCTGGTTCAAAACGTTTACCATTTCATAATAGAGTTCTTGGAGCCTGCAACGAGAAGGATGTGGTGAGGACCAGCCATCAGGCCTACAAGGAAAGGCCCCAGGCTCACTTATTAGAAATACTCTCTCTCATGAAGTTTGACTTCTGAACCCTCTTCTTCCTCTTGCCCTTCACAAACTTTATCCCCTGTACCACTCATGAGACACTCATTTATATATATATTATATATATATATAATACATATATATATATATATAATTTTTGTTGACTACTATGGCATCAGGTTACAGTCCAGTCTTCCTGGTTAGATTGAAGCTCCTCTGAGGTTAGAATTAATGTCTGCTCTTCCATAGGATAGCTAAGCACAGAACCAGGCAGACATAGTAGGTGTTCATAGCTAGGTGGCACAGTGAATAGAGAGTTGGGCCTGAAGGCAGTACTACCTGAATTCAAATCAAGCTTCAGATGTATGACCCTAGGGCAAGTCAATTGACTTCTGTTTGTCTCTGTTTTCTAGACTGTAAAATGAGGATAATAATAGCACCTGCCTTCCAGGGTTATTGTGAGGATCAAATGAAATAATATTTGTAAAGCTTTTAGCACAGTGCCTGGCACGTGGTAGGTGCTTAATAATTGCTCATTTCCTTCCTTCATACTTGCTGATGTTGCTATTAACTATGAAAATCTGAGACCTGAAGGAGATGTTCTCTTTCTAGGAAGGCCCTTGGACTGTCATCTTCAGAACTGCATGAGGGATAAGAAAGAATTCTCTTTTTTTTTTTTGGCTAGTCAATGAGGTTAAGTGACTTGCCCAGGGTCACACAGTTAGTAAGTGTTATGTGTCTGAGGCCGGATTTGAACTCAGATCCTCCTGAATCCAGGGTTCTATCTACTGCGCCACCTAGCTGTCCCGAAAGAATTCTTTAGACAGCATCCTAGAGGATGATTGCTTCATGGTTTCTGATCAGATTGCTTACCTAGAGATCTGTCTACACCACACCATCAGGAGCCCTCATTCAGAACTGTGCCCTCCCACTGCAGACAAGTTCGGGAATCTTTAAGAGCAGAAGTCCCTCAAAAAGAGAGTTTTTCAGCCTCACACTATAATCTGTCTCACCTGTCTGCCTTTACCATAAGGTAAGCTCTACCTTCGGTCAAACCACAATCCCTCTTGCTCATATTTTGTCCTTGGCATAACATGGTATGTTAGAAGTAGAACATACATTCTTTTCTAAAGTTCATCCTCCATCTGGAGGATGTTTCATAGGCATCTTGATCTCAATATGACCAAAGCAGCATTATCTTACCCCTGTCCCATTCTCCCCAACAAAAAAAAAAAAATTAAGAAAAGAAAAGAAAAACAAATTTGGCAATCTTCAAAAATGCTCTAACCCTACTGTGGACACCACCATCTTCCCATTTAATAAGGTACACAATCTTAGAGTCATTCTTGACTCTTTTCCTCTCCTTCACCCCGCCCCATCCATTCAATTACCAGGCCAAGTGGATTCTGTCTCCACAAGATTTCTCACCTATACAGCTGCAATAGCCTAACTGACATCCTTGATTCTCTTTCTAATGCATCCTCCAAACATCTACCAAAATAACCTTTTAAGGTTTAGGACTAACTATGTTACTCTCCTACTCAAAAATCTTCAATGGCTCTCTACTGCTACTATAATAAAATACATATTCCTCAAATGTGACTTTTAAAACCCTCCACAATTTGTCCCTAACCTACAGATCATATCACTTCCCATATCTACATCCCAGCCAAAATGGCCTACTGCCTGTTCCCCAAACCCAGCACTCCATATTCTATTTCTGTGCCTTCACACTGCCAGTCCTCTCTGCCTTGAATGCACTCCCTCTTTGCCTCTCTGTCTCAGGTTCCTTATCTATCCTCAACCTAGATGCTACGTCCTCCTAGAAGCCACCCCTGATCATCTCTCCCACCTCAAGTTGTTATGACTTTGTTCCTTCTCAAATTATCTGTATGTATGTTGTATTCCCCGAAGAGAACGTAGGTTGGGGCTGTTTTGTTTTATCTTTGTATACCTAGTATCTAGCAGTGCCTAGAACATAGATGCTCAATTGGTTTGATTACTTAAGTTGAATTAATTAAAAGTCATTTATTTAAATTGAAAAAATGATCTTAACCCTGAAAACTCCAGAATGAAACTACTTCAACTGGGTTCCAAGCCTTGTAGAAGCAAAAGAGTGGCTGTTAGTCAAGGGCCACAGAAGAGTTCCTCAATGGAGAAGACAAACCCTGTCCCCAAATTCATTTCACATATAGGCATATAGGAATGCCTATAAAGTTAAAAGGTCCTGATACACTGGCTAAAATCTCAGCTCTTACTAGCCTGCCACAGAGACAGGAATCCCTATGGTTAGAATCACTAACTGACAATAAAAAGGGCAAGGGCCTCAACAGAAGACCCCAGCTGCATGTACCTCTGTTATTGGGGTAAAGCCCTCTCCTACTGGTCCACAGCAGCACATTGTTCTACCTACTTGGAGGAAGAACACAGGTCACCTGAGATTCAAGGGGCAGGGATGACAAGTCCTGGAAGATGATGGAAGTCTGAGAGGTTACACTAAATTACCTTTAAGGGCCTTCCCAACTTTAAAATTCTAAGATTCTGTGGTTCTACTCATCTCCCCTGCTATAACATAAGCTCCATGAGGGTGGGACCTACTTCGGTTTTGTTGTCATATCCTTAGCACCGAGCATAATGCCAAGCACGTTTTAGATGTTTAATAAACCCTGTTTATTGGAACCGTCTCCTTCATGCAGAGCTGCTAGGGAGAACCTGCAAAGTACATGATTTAAATGTATCATTTGTAAAGGAGTGGGTTGAATTTGATGATCCCCTAGGATCATTTCCAACTCTAAATCCTATGATGCCCCACTGCCAAGCATCTTCCTGAATGGCCCCCATTAATCCTCATCATTGAAGAACATAGGCAGAATAAGTCCGCAGGAAAGGACAGAAGGAAGACTCCACAACAGAGTCCTATCACCCAGAAACCACCAATGCCCTGGAGACAGAAGGTGAAAATTTCTTGACAAGCTCAATCTGACTGATTCCACATAGTTGTTGCCATCCTTCACCCACAAGTGAAGGCAAGTAACTGTCACAACTCTATACGTTCACTTACATACACTGACAATCAAAATCAATTAAGTCTGTTTTTAATGATCTCTCTCTACTGCTAAGGAGATGTTGCTGGTAAAGTAGGGGGACATTGGATGAAAACTGCCTTTCAATGGTGGATTATTTATTGTTTTATAGAAGAGGGGACTGAGAAGCAGAGAGTGTAAATGGCTGGTCTACATTCCCATAATGAGTTAGTGACATGTGTGTTTGCTACCAGCCTAGTCTTTTTCCATAACACTGAAAGATAGATAAGGGAAAAGTAGGGTATTATAAGGGGAAATGGGGCAAATTATGGTCTAGAAATGCCCAGCTGGTCATACTGAGGGTAGAAGTGGGAAGAATAAAAAGGATACTTATTACTTCCAGGATTAAATTTAAATTTTGGCATTTAAAGCTCTTCATAACCTAGCCCCTTCCTACCTTGAAAGTCTAACTCCTCTCTTCATACTCTGTGACCCAGCTACAATGGCTACTTGGTGTTTCTATCTGCCATCACCAATGCCTTTCTATACTCTTTCTCTGCCTGGAATGCTCTCCCTCCTTACCTTTACCTCTTAGTTTCTCTGACGTATTTCTAGTCTCAGCTTAGTTTCCACCTTCTACAGGAAGCCCGAGATCATCTTCTATCTCTATATATCTTCTTTGAACCCACTTATTTACGTATTGTCTCCCCCGTTAGAATGTGAGCTCTTGGTAGGCAGGGACTGTCATTGCTTTTTCTACTTCTACCACTTAGCATAGTACCTAGCATAATGTATGCACTTAAATGCTTTGAAACTCTCTTGAAAATGAAAGGAGTTCTAGGTTATTTGGTCAGTTTGGGCTAGAAGAAGTAAGTTTGGGTCTAATGACCCAAGTGCTCAAGAACAGAGACTTACTTAGAAATAGTATTATCTTGGTTGTCCAGTGTTGACAGGTAAATATCAATGAAGGGAAGGGTGGTACAGAAATCTTCCAAGACCATGGGGTCTGAATGTCTCAGAGTCTTCTTAAAACCTTCCACCAGCTCACTGAAAGTTTTATATTCACTGTTTGTCTAGAGAGAGAGAGAGACAGAGAAAAACATTAGAAGATAGTGAAGCTGATGATGAAATTGTAGGTTCTATACCATGTTGGACTCCTATGGCACAATTAATAAATGAATATGTAAACAATTCTTTTTAGATCTGACTTTATTTGTGTAAAAAGTGTTTTGTAATTGTGTTCATATAGTTCTTAGGTTTGTCTTGATAGGTAGACTACCAAGTATTTTATATGGTCTGCAGTTATTTCAAATGGAATTTCTCTTTCTATCTCTTGCTGTTGGATTTTGTTAGTAATATATAGAAATGCTGATGATTTGTGTGGGTTTATTTTATATTCTGCAACTTTGCTAAAGTTGTTCATTATTTCAATGAGTTTTTTAGTTGATTCTCTAGGATTTCCCAAGTATGCCATCATATCATCTGCAAAGTGACAGTTTTATTTCCTCATTGCCTATTTGAATTCCTTCAATTTCATTTTCTTCTCTTACTGCTATAGCTACCATGTTTAATAGAATAGTAAATAATAATGGTGATAATGGGTGCCCTTGCTTCACCTCTGATCTTATTGGAAAGGCTTCTAGTTTATCCCCATTGCCAATAATGCTTGCTAATGATTTTAAATAGATATTACCTATCATTTTAAGGAAAGCTCTATTTATTCCTATGCTTTCCAGTGTTTTCAATAGAAATAGGTGTTGTATTTTGTCAGAAGCTTTGTCTGCATTGGTTGAGACAATCATGTAATTTTTATTGGTTTTTTTATTGATATGGTCAATTATGCTAACAGTTTTCCTAATATTGAATCAGCCCTACATTCCTGGTACAATCCCACTTGGTCATAGTGTATATCTTTGTGATATATTGCTATAATCTCCTTGCTAGTATTTTATTAAAAATTTTTCACCACTATTCATTAGAGAAATTGGCTTGTAGTTTTCTTTCTCTGTTTTAGCTCTTTCTGGTTTAGGTATCAGCACCATATTTGCATTATAAAAGAAATTTGGTAGGACTCCTTCATCTATTTTTCCAAATAGTTTATATAGTATTGAGATTAATTGTTCTTTATATGTTTGGCAGAATTCACCTGTGAATCCATCTGGTCCTGGTGATTTTTTCTTAGGGAGTTCATTGATGGCTTGTTTGATTTCTTTTTCTAAGATAAATTTATTTAAAGATTCTATTTCCTCTTCTGTTAATCTAGGTAATTTATATTTTTGTAAATAGTCATTCATTTCCCTTAGGTTGTTAGATTTATTGGCATACAATAGGGCAATATAGTTCCTAATAATTGCTTTAATTTCCTGTTCATTGGGGGTTTTTCATTTCTTATACTGATAATTTAGTTTTTTTCTTTCTTTTTTAAAATCAAATTAATCAATGTTTTATTTATTTTATTGTGTTTTTTTTCATAAAACCAACTAAGTTTTATTTATTAGTTTAATAGTTTTCTTACTTTCAATTTTATTAATTTCTCCTTTGATTTTAAGATTTCTGATTTGGTGTTTAATTGTAGGTTTTTAATTTTTTCTTTTTCTAATTTTTTTATTTGTATACCCAATACATTGATCTGCTCTTTCTCTATTTTATTGATGTAAGATTTAGAGATATAAATTTTCACCCAAGTATTGCTTTGGTTGCATCCTGTAAATTTTGCCCCATTGTTATTATTCTCTTTAATGAAATTATTGATTGTTTTGATGATTTGTTCCTTGACTCAATTATTCTTTAGGATTAGATAATTTATCTTCCAATTAACTTTTAATCTATTTTTCTGTGGCCCTCTATTAAATGTAATTAAACAATTCTATTTAGACCAAAGGGTTAAAATGCTAAGTGTAAGCTATCCTCACCTAAATGTGGGTTATTGTGCTACTCAAACTGCATAAAATCCAAATATCCCTTTTACTTGCCTTTGTAATGCATTTCTGTGACTCCCTGCCTCTTCCTACCCTTGGTTGGTCCCAAGAGTATTTCTTTATTATCTTATCTTGTGTTTACCTAAGGCTTAAATGTATAAAAGATGAAACCAATGACATTTAGCCACAGTCAAAGACAAAAGAATGTAATGAACCTATAGAATGCTGTTAGGATAGGGGGGAAAAAGATTCTATATATATCAAAATATTTGCAACAGCATTTTTTGTGGTAACATAAACAATTAGAATTACAGTAAGTATCCATTAATTAGGGAAATGCTGAAAAATTGGATAGGAATACCACTAATAAATATAGTCTAAGAAATGACAAATGAGAGGAATTCAGTGAATCATGGAGTAAAGTAAGCAGAACAAGGAAAATAACATTTAAAAAAGGACTAAATAAATTAATGTAAGGTAATGTAATAATAAACTCAAACTGTAAAGGCAGCTAAACTCAGATTAAATGCAATGACCAATCTTAGTCTTAGAGAATAGATGACAAAAGATATTTCTGTCTTCTTGGTAGAGAGGTCAGGACTAAAATGTAGCATACACTGTCAGTTATATTTATTTTGTTGGTTGGTTTTGCTTAACTGTTTTTCTTTGTTACAAGGAGCATTCAATGATGGGGAAATAATAATTGGGAAATAACTGGTATAAAAATCAAAAGCCATAAATAACCAAGCAGAGCCAAGATGGAAGAGTGGAAGGAAGTAATATGCTAAAAGTGTCCCTACACAAAATTCCTCTAAACAGATCTAGAAAATATGCTAAACTAAATCCTGATAGGGAAATACAGAAAAGGTCACAGTGAGTCATTTGTCCAGCCCAGCTCATCATTGGGAGACAGACAGGAAGAATTATCAGTGCTCAGGAAGAAACTGCACAAGAGGATTACATGTGATTTAACAATTAGCACTATAGAAGAAGTCAGAGGGGAAAGGTGCAAACTGGAAACTTAGTCACCTACTACCCAGTTCTGGGTAGATTCAGAGAGGATTGAGAAAGAGGGGACCTGAGCATAAGGGTAATGTTCCCAGGTAGGTAGGAAACAGCAGTAGTGTGACTCAGACCCTAGGCAACAAAGTAGGGTCTCACTTCTAGCATCTAGACCAGCCTGCAAAAGAATAACTAGCATAGGAATCCCAGACCAAAGAAGAGTTTATAATTCTGCCACTCTGAACCAGCAGAGGTTTTCAGCTAGTTAATAGGGACTGAGTTCAGCAACAGCATACTCTTGCTTAGAATATATTCTAACCCAGGCCAGGAAGTAACAGAGCTCAGACCAGGATGGGCAGCAAACAGACTTTGCCCTGGTAGACCACTTTAAGAGCACTGAAAGCTGTCAGGTCCCCAGCTGTCTCAGGTCCTCCTTTTTCTGAGATCCTAAAACAACAACATTCAATGCCCCAAGAAAACAGCAACAGGACCAGCCCAGACCTTTTCCTCCAGAAGTGCAGCTGAGTCCAGTCCTAACATCAAATCTAAAGTCAGGAAGTAGGCTGGAAGAATGAGCAAACAGACTAACAAAAAAGAATGCCTTGTAAAGAACAATAAGGCTGGAAGAGAAGCTCAATTCACAAACCTGGAAGAAGAGAAAGACTGCAAAAATATCTACAAGCAGAGTCTCAGAGAAAAACACAGCTTGGGCACAAACTCAACTAGAATTCCCTGAAGAAATAAAGCAAGAATTTTTAAAAGTTTTTATAAATGGAATGAGAATACTTGAGGAAAAAAATTGGAAAAAGAAATGAGAATTATGGGGGCAGCTAGGTGGTACAGTGGATAGAGTCCTTGGATAGAGTCCTAGGCCTTGGAGTCTGGAGGACCTAAGTTCAAATTTGGCCTCAGACATTTGACACTTACTAGCAGGGCAAGTCACTTAACCCAAATTGCCTCACCAAAAAAGAAAAAAAAAAGAGTTATGAAAGAAGGAATTAGAAAGGGAATTAACAGCTTGGCACAAGAGGACAAATCTTGTCCAAGCAACAAACTCCCTGAAAACTAGAATGGCCTAAATAGAAGCCAAAGACTCTCTAAGGCAACAAGAAATACTAAAACAAATTCCAAAAACTAAAAAAATGGAAGAAAATGTAATCATCTCATAGAAAAAACGAGTGACCTAGAAAACAGATCAAGGAGAAATAATTTAAGAATCACTGGACTATCTGAATGTGATGACAGAAGGAAAAAAAAAAGCCTAGACACCCTATTTCAAGAAATCTAAAAACTACCATATTTCCTAGAACCAGAAAGCAAAGTGGAAATAAAAAGAATCCACTAGTCACCTCCTGAAAGAAACCCCAAAGTGAAAACTCCCAAGTACATTCAAAATTCAGAGTTTCCAGGTGAAAATGCTGCCAACAGTCAGAAAGAAAAATTCAAATACCAATGAACCATGGTCAGGATCACACATTATTTAGCAGCCACCACTATAAAGAAGCATAGAACTTGGAATACAAAATTCCAGAAGGCAAAAGATATGAGCCAGTAGCCAACAACTTACCAAGCAAAATTGAGTATTATGCTATGGGAAGGAGGACAAGGGATTGATCTTTAATTAAGTAGAGAATTTCCAACAATTTCTTATGAAATAGAAACTAGAAACAGGCATAGAAACTCTAAGGTTCAAACACAGAAGTGAAGAAAAACGTGAAAAGATGAACAATGATAAAAGGACTAAGCAAGGATAAACTGTTTATATTAAACTATGGAGAGATGATACATGTGTCCCCTCTGAACCTTAATATCATCAGTGGTCATAAAGGAAGTGCAAGTAGAGAAGGTCTAGTAGTGATTCTGCTACATCTTAATTATCTTAAGAAAAAATGGAAAAAGAAGGGAAGAGAAATACAATTGCAGGAAGGGAAAGTAAGATTAGGAAAAATCATCTCACACAATTAGAGTGTGCTTTTAGACATCTCCACAAACAAGGAGGAGGGAGGAGCAGCTGACTCTTGAACCTCACTCTCATCTGAACTGATCAAAAAAAGGACACACACACATTCACACACATTGGGCACACAAAAAGTTTCATTCAACAGGGAAATAGGAGGGAAAGGGTGAGGAGGGGAAGGGGAATTAGAGGAAAGGTAGATTAGGGGAAGAATTAGTCTTAAGTGTCCCCTTAGGACATGCAAAAAAAACCATAGTCCTTTTTAAGTTGTCAAAGAATAGGAATCTAAGGGAATACCTATAAATTGAGGAATCAATGGACAGGTCATGGCAAATAAATGTGCCGGAATACTATTATGCCAAACTCTTGATGTAATGATCAACCACAATTCCAGAGGACTAATGATAAAACATACTAGCCATCTCCTGATAGAGGTGAAGGATTCAAAATATAAATTTTGAGGAGGCATGGGTAATGTGGAAAGTGGTTTTGATACATGTTTGTAATCAGTTTTGTTTTCTTGTGTTAAAAATTGGGGGCCAGGGAGGATGGGGTAGGAGAAGGTGGATTTTGGCTGATTAAAATAAATAAAATATTTTTCAAGGAATCAACAAAACTTAAAAAAAAAACATCAGAATAGTAGATTGAAAGCTAGAAGTGATTTTAAAGGTCATCAAGTTCAATCTCCACATTTTACAGATGAGAAAATTGAGGCACTGAAAAGCTAAGCAAATTGCCCAGCGAGTAGACACCTGAGGAGAGATTTGAACTCCAAATCTTCCTAACTCCAAATTCAGTACTCTATTCTCTCTGTTATGCTGCCTTTTCAGGAAGGCAATATCCCATAGTGAGCTGAAGATTGAGAAAAATTCTAACAACAGTAATAAAAAAGGGCTTTTAAAAGCATATTGTTTTCTTCAGTGTTGATTGACATCAGCCTTAAGAGGGACGAATAGCGGTATACTGCAGGTGTCCATTCTTGGCCCTTGTCTGTCCAACATTTCTGTCACTTACTTAGATGAAGGAATGAGTGGCATGCTCTTCAAATTTTCATACACAACAAGGCTGGAAGGGATCACTAATAATATTCTTTTGCATGACAGAATGAGGAGTCAAGATGACTTTGGCAGGCTCAAATTATATATGGAAATGAATATCTATGTATTATAATATAGATTTATACATATAGTTATGAAATCAACTTTACAAGTACTAGAGATCTGGCTTAGTAAGAGTTCATGTAAAAAAAAAAACCTAGATCATGAATATGAACCAATCATAGAGTGTAGTAATCAAAAAGTTAATGAAATATTAGGCTGAATTAATAGAATTGTTAATTAATAGACTAGTATTGTGTCCAGGATGAGTGAAGTGACAGTCCTACCTTTGCCCTGGTCAGACTGTGTTTGAAGTATAGAGTTGGATTCTGGGCATTCCATTTAAAACAGGAACTGTCAAGGTGGAGTGTCTCCAAAATAAGAACAACCCAGAGAGGAGAATATTAATATGGCATATAATCCATAATAATTTTCTTTAAATATTTAAAGGGCCATCAGGTGGAAGACTAATTAGATTTATTATTTTGTTCTTGATATTGTTCAGTCATTTTTCAGTAGTGTCTGACTTTATTACCCCATTTGGAGTTTTCTTGGCAAAAATACATTCCCTTCTCCAGCTCATTTTACAGATGAGGAAACTGAAACAAATAAGGTTAAAAGTGACTTAACCAGGGTCACACAGCTAGTAAGTGTCTGAGGCTAGATTTGAACTCAGAAAGATAAGTGTTCCTGATTCCAGGCCCTGACACTATGCCATCTAGCTGCCCGGGGTAGAATTTAGAAGGGGAGTACAAGGAGTCACATATTGGCCGAATGTAAGAAAAAACATGTTAACAGAGCTGTTCAACAATGAAATAGGCTAAACTCTTAAATTAGCAATTTCTTCATCCCTCAAAGTTTTCAAGCAGGGATTGTCATAAATTACAGAGAGGTCATTCCCAAATTGAGCAAGAGGATGGACTAGGAAATCCCCTTAGATGCTTCTCAATTTTTCAGCTTCTAAATTCACTCAATTGCAAGGGATTCCTGTATGCATATAGGTTGGACTAGGTATAATTTGAGGGTCCTTTCAACTCTGAGCTTCTATAATTCTGTGATCTTTGTAATTTAAAAAAAAGCATTAACATTATTAGTCTAGATATCCTAAATAATTGTCTCTTAACTGCCTCTGATTTTTAAAAATAGAGAAGGAAAATTGCTCGTATAGATATCCAGGTTGAAATTATATGTCACAAGTCTTCTGCCATGTTCCTTTTCTAGGCTAACCCAGGCTAACCACAGATAATACCATCTAATCTGATATCATCTTCCATTAATATTATGTACCCCTTTCTGCATGAGTCTGCTGACTTCTTCCTGCTGCTTCTTCAGGATGTTTTGTTTCTCTTGCAGAACAGCCACATGTCGCTCATCTTCCAATTCCTTTTCAAATTTCTTGATCGAATCCTAATCAGGCCAAGAACAGATTCTATCATTAGATAATAAAGCTTTAAAGCCAGGAGAGACCTTAGAGAACAAGTAGGCCAACCCCTTTGTTTCATATGAGGAAAACAGGTTCAGAAAGGGGAATTTATTTGTCTAGAGTCACATAGATGATAAGCACCTTGAGGACAAGAGCTGTTTTTGTTTTGTTTTGTTTTGTCTTTTGGCCTCAGTACCTAGGACAGTACCTCACACAAAGGAGTTTATGTTTGGTGATTGTCTCTTGACTGTGAACTTTGCTGAAGAGCTGAGATCTAAACCTTGCTCTTCAGGCTCCAAACCCAAAATACTTTTCACTCCATCATGGTGGAAAGTTGGATAAGGGCAGTGGCCTTTGTAAAGTCATCAACCTGCTGTGATTATAAGAGGGTTTAAACTTTAGAGGAAGAAATGTCTTCATGTCACTCCTTTCTGCTTCCTGGTAAAAGTCCTAGAGATCTCTGCCTCTGAAGATGGTAAAGTCTCTGCACTTGTCATTTACTTTTCTCCTACTTGCTACCCTAACTGTCCACCTGTCTTATGCCTAGTCTCTACCACAGGTATCCCTCAAAGCATAGGGTCCAGGCTAAGCTCAGAAATTTGCTGAACCCTCAGAAGGCACTGATTAAGTATACTCTAGTATATGCTGAGTCTTTAAAAACTGATAAGGCAGGGGAAGGCAACTTTGGTGCAAAGGAAGGAGCTCAACATTGAAGTCCTAATTCTAACCTCAGCTCTGCTACTAACTCATCTTGAGACTCTCATTTGTCACTTGAGGCCCTTAGCTTTGCATTTTTTAATCAAAATACTGGACTATGGTTTCTACAGTCACCTCCATTTTGTGATTATGTGCCTGTTATGTATACTAACCCTAAACATACTATGTAGCAGAATGTTTACTCAATTACTTACCTTTTCAGAAATGAAGGAGTTAGGAGTCACCCAAGGCTTTCTTTATTGCCCAGGCCCTCAGGACCTTTCATCCTACACCATGCCAAGAAGGGTTAGGGGATTTGAGTTGGAAAAGGGCTAGTTGTACACTGTCTCACAAACCTTGCCTTCCCACCATAGTCCAAATAGCAAGGACTAAGGACTGCTACACTATTCCCCACCCCTTCCCCTTCCTCTCTCAGAGGAAGACAGGGTTCAGTGCCTTACAAAAAGAGAGCATCCCCTTCATGAGACCAGCTTTCCACACCTTCAAGTAAGTATTTCTCTAACTTCAAGCATCCCTCTAACTCACCCCTAATTTCTTTCTGGGCTTAAGCATCTACATGAGTGTTCCAGACAGAATCTTTGTTTTCTGCCTACTAACCAGGCTCCCACCACCCCCATTCCCTAATATTCCCTGAAGTAGATGATAGGATTAGAACTCACCTCTGTGTGAATGATCATGACACCAACAAACATACTGAGGAACACAAAGGAGCCCAACAAGATAAAGAAAATGGTAAAAGCCCTGCTCAGAGTAAACCCCCGCTCATCCAGGTCTTTCTGAAGATCTGTCCAGCCATCCACCTGGAAGGAAGAACAAAATGCTACAGTCCCAGAGTCAGAGTTTCCAAAAGTTTTCTCATCTAAACCCTTGGCCTCTGGTGAGACCTTCCCTTTCCCTGCCTCTGAATTCCATATCTGAGGTATTTTATTTACAGAAGAGAATTTTTCCTGGGTCATCTGGAACTAAAGAGGGAACATTTAGTGGAATGGGGAAAAAGTCTCTAATAATAGCTATTTGAATCAATTAAATTCTCTGCAATATTCAAATCTGGAGGTGGACTAATTGTTAGTTAAATATATCCTGGGAATTAAGCACTGGACTTTGGGAGAATTCGTTGTTCCCATAAGAGTACTTCTGAGTCAACTAATAATTAATGATGATGATGATGATAGTTAACATTTATATAGCACTTTAATGTTTATAAAACATTTCACAAACATTTTCTCATTTGATTCTCATGACAACCCTGGCAGGTGGTTGTTATCATTGTCCCCATTTTTCAGATGAGGAAACTGAGGCAGATAGGAGTTAAGTGACTTGCCCAGGGTCATACAACTAGTAATGATCTGAGGTGAAATTTTAACTCGGATCCTCCTGACTCCAAGTCCAGTGCTCTATCCATTGTGCCACATACTGTGCCACTATACTCTTGAGACAGAAAGTGCTAACCCTCTTCCAAAGCATCTCACTACTCAAGGATAAAGAAATTTGTTTAAGAACTCTTACTTTAGCTAACCTTAGGGACCAACTGACATCAAATAACTTTAAGAAGTCAGACCATGAGTGCCAACATTTTGGGAACTATGATGCCCACTCACCCCCATTGGTTTTCATGACATTCATTTTCCTTCCTAGAAAAGCAATTTAGCATGCAATTACTTTTTTTCAATTAAAGGAAATCAGTTGATTCCTTTTTGAGAACTTTCTTTTGACAAGCTCATACATAGTATCATGGAGCGATACCTAGAAGGCACTTTAGAAGCTACCTACTCCAACTCCTTTGGTTTACAGGTAGGTAAACTGAGGCCCCTGGAGGTAAGTGACTTGCCCAAAGTCATACAGGGAGCAAATTGCAGAGGCCAGATTTGAGCCCAGATACTCTGAATCCGAAACCAATGCTTTTTTTTTTCCACTATGAATCAAGAGAGATGGACAGTGAGAGGAAGCATCATTTTCATAACACAACTTTGCATTTGAAAGATTTTGTCTTTAATTAGATCCAAGGTGATTATGCTGATAGTGCATATTTACAACAGTTTTGCATATATTTCCCATATCATAAAAATGCCTACTCAGCCAGGGAGGGTAATAGGGCTGTGAGAGCTACCTCAGACAATTTTCAGGTTAACATGTTAATTCTGCTCCCCTGCTGGCTCTTATCTCTTGCCTTTCACCCCAATATTCTCAAAAGAAGAAAGAAACTGGGTGCTAAGACAGTGATGAAAAGAAGGAACCAAAGTTTATCATGCCCTCCCCAATAGCCTCAGTTCCTTCAATTCCCACTGGTAGACATAATAAAAGGATCTGCTGCTCTCCTTCATTCACTCCGCCTGTTAAATCCTCATTCATCTTTTAAAGTCCAACTCAAATGTCACCTTCTCCAGGAAATCCATTTAATCCCCTCTGTCCATAAGATGTTTCCTTTCCATCACAGAAAACTTTGTTTTGTACTTCTCAGATGACTTTATCATGTAATATTGTAATATTACAGATATCTGTGTTAGTATCCTATTCTCCAAGAGAGCAGAGTTTCCCTTATCTAAACTTTGAATCTGAACATCTCCTGCCCTTTTAGGCCTAGCACAGTGCTCTGCAAATAAGAATGAGCTTAATCAGTGTTGGCTGTTTTCTATTCGACATATTGCCCAGGAAGAGACAATGTGCCACTGGGAAAATATAACAGCTAATCACTATTGCCGCTAAATAGCAAAGCATGAATTAGATTAGTATACAAGTTCTGGGGAGAACAGGGCACAGAAGCATGGGAATAAATAGTCAGGAAAGGTCCTGAGGCTGGGGTATGGGAGGTAGAAAGGATAGCAGGCCTAAATAGGGTACTGCATCGTGGAGAGTGTTGGGAATGTGAGGGCACTAGAAAACCCAGGGGCAGGCAGAAAGACTCTGAGGACTGACTTTACCTACTCCACAAGTAAGTCTGAGACCATTCAAGAGGAGGGATCCTCCTCCCTGCCCTGGGAACCAGTTTCCTTGAAAAAGCTTTACACACAGTTACCGTGGTCAAGCTGAAAAGGGTGAAGAAGGCCACGGCAAGGTTTCCCCAGTTATTCAAGTCACCCGCATCAGTTGATCCGAACAGACAAAAGCCTAAGATGGCAAAGATGAACATCATCAGGAACAGCAGGGTCATGACGGAAGCCACAGTGCAGATTGTCTGTCCCAATGCAGTGATCAGAGTCTGTGAAAAAGGGAGAACAGAGGAGTGAGGCATAGAAGGTTTCCAGGCTAAACAAGCCCCCTCAAAACTAAAAGCAAGACTCAAAGTTCACCAAGTCCAGGCCCAGGCCAGCTAAGGAAGCAAGTATTTCTTTTTTTTTTTTCTTCACTTTTTTTTTATTAATTTATTTTGATTTATCAACAATCACTTCCATAAGCTTTTGAGTTTTAAATTTTTCTCCCCCTCCCCAAGACAGTGCTCAATCTGACATAGGCTATACATATACATTCCTATGAAACATATTTTCACATTAGTCGTGTTGTAAGGAAGAATTAGAACCAATAGAAGGAACCACAAGAAAGAAGAAACAAAACAAAACAAGAAAAAAAAGAGCAAACAGTATGCTTCAATCTGCATTCCAACTCCATAGTTCTTTCTTTGGATGTGGATAGTATTTTCCATCATGAGTCTTTTGGAGTTGTCTTAGAGCCTTGAATTGCTGAGAAGAGCTGAGACAGATGGTCCGTGGATAGATTCCAGGGGAATCTGCAAACTTGGATGGGAAAAAAAAAATTTCATCTTTATTTTCACTAAACTCTTACTGAAATTTAGCATTTCCTTCAATTGTGATAGAAAATAAAAACATTTTAAAAATATTTTTTTAAATTAAGACAAATTATTCTGAGCAGAGGTCCATAGACTTTGCCAGACTGCCAAAGGATCCATCACACACACAAAATGGTTAAGAACCCCTGCCTTAAAGCAACCTGGAGTTTAAAAGTTTGTTTTCCAAACTAAAATGCAGATGAACAGAAACAGCATGGCAGTCAGCTAACAGGACTTCTCTGTACAAAATACAACAAGGAAATTATTTCCTTAAGGTGGAGATTTACTGCACTTAGGTGGAAGGCAGAGTGTTGTAAAGGAGTTTTTAATTAATAAAGGGAAGGAAGCCAAGAATGCACTGCATGCCGGGGTTCTCAGCACTAAAGACTGCTTCCCTGTTAAGGACTCATTTAAACTTCAATTAATATAATTATAATAAATGCTTAGGCCCCACCACCTCCCACACCTCCAGCCTCCCTGGCTGAGGTGAATGACAGCAAATGATACAAAGAGAGTTTTTAACCCAAAGTGGTGTTAGTACCCTTGGGTAATTGGCACATCAGAGTCTGGAACTGATGACTGGCTTCCCAATGGCTACAAAGCAAGCAGACTATAAGGAGGGAGATCAGCATCATTCCCTGACCTGGATCCTAAAGTGTCCCTCTTTAGAAGACAGAGCCATCCATTAATTACAAGCCAACATTCAGGCCCCAGTGCTTGGGGCCTAAGCAAGCTCCCTATATGATGGAGAAATAAATGAGAGGCCAAGCAATTGAGAGAAAGTGAGACATAGAACTTTGGGGGTCAGAGAGAGATAGGCTAAAAGCCCAGCTCAAAGAAATCCCTTATCCCTTATTGCTACTCCCTATTTTGGGAGAACATGAGAAGACAAGTGAATGAACAAATGTTCTTTTCTTTATAATGGGCTAGGGACCAGAAGAGGGAAGATGATTCTTTTTTTTAAATTTCCCTAGGTTTGATTAAAAACAGAGGCTGATAGATCTAGGTTTCAATAACATTTATCTCTGAGGTATTAAAAATAGGGACATAGTGTGTACCATTTTCCAAAGGAGGTGACACCCTCATCATTAATACTGCAAATATCTAGTGTTGAGAAAAGAATGCTCGTTTGTAAAAATCAGGGGCCCTTATTCCAAGTCCAGCTTCACCATTAAGTTGAAAAATCTCAAAATGTTAATGCTGGAAAGGACTTTTTTATATTATCTAACCCAATCCCTTCATTTTATAAATGGCAAAACCAAGGTCCAGAGAAAGAAAACAATTCGTCTAAAGGCTCAACAGAGAATTTGTGGATAAGCTGGGACTAGAACCTAAGTCTTCCGACTTTGTCAGGCACCACCTCTTTGGGCCTGTTTTCCCACCTGTAAAATGGTAGAGTTAAATTGGATACTCTCTAAGGTATCTTATATTCATGATCCCTTCAATCCCCTGAAGTCACCTTCAATAGATGTTGGATACAAGTTTCCTGCCCAAATACTTTAAAGCCATTACAATTGACACACTTGCCTACCAATGTATATGTTTTGAATGGAAGGCAGGCCACACAGTTCTCCCATATGTACTCCAGCAAAACTTTGAAGTTTGCAACAAATCAAATAATTTGTTAAATCCAAAGGAGAAATTACCGTGATGTCTCCCACCCCAGAACTGCACAAGAGGTCAGTCAGAAGCTCATGGGCAATAGGAAAGGAGGACAGACTTACAGGGTGAGCAGGAGGAATATCAGAGACAGGGCTCACGTAGCCTTCAAGGCTCTGTATCAGGAGGCAGAGAGAGCAAAAGTTTCCCCTGAGAAAGACCAAATGTGGTCAGAAAGTCTCAGGGTTGGGACCATGGGAACAACAGGAAGCAGCAATGGGCAGTAACCATGCCACAGCATTCAGGACAGTCCAAGCCTAGGAGATCTGATGTCCCTAACAACACCTTGTCCTGAGATATTAGGGAGGAACCTCAGAAGGTAAGAGGTCGGCACAAGAGCCCAGGGGACCCAGGACAAGACCACATAGGGCTGACCACGTCACCCAAAAAGTGTAAGAGGAGGTAGAGCCTATACCCTGGCACAAAACCTCAATTCAAGAAATAAAACTGGAGAGATTGAGCAAAAAAATATACCAACTGTTATAAAAATTATTACAAATCTACCTCTGTATCAACCAAAAGCAGAGACTCAAAGGGAAAAAAGTGGATTTTTCACAAGAACTACATGAATATCAAGAAGAAATGAAATAAGAGATAAAAAATTGAGTGAAAACTATTGAGGAAAGCATTGGAAAGAGAATAAATAGCTTGGAAGAGAAAGTGATAAACCTTACCCATGAAACAGAATCCTTGAAAACTTAGATCAAGCAGAAATCAATGACTCCACAAGACAGTAAGAAATATTAGACCAAAATTAAAAAATTGAAAAAACATAAGAAAATGTAAGAAATATTACATCAAAAACAGCTGATGTGGAAAATAAGTTAAAGAAAGATGATTTTACCGAGACGGGAGATAGGACGGAGGGAAATACAGTTGGCAATAGTAACTGAAAAAAATTTTGAAGCAAGTTTCTCTGATAAAGGCCTCATTTCTCAAACATAGAGAACTGAGTCAAATTTATAAAAATAAGAGCCATTCCTCAATTGATAAATGATCAAAAGATATGATTAGTTTTCAGATGAAGTAATCAAAGCTATCTATAGCCATATGAAAAAAATGTTCCAAATCACTATTGATTGGAGAAATGCAAATTAAAACAATTCTGAAGTACTACCTCTCATATCTATTAGATTGGCTAATAGGACAGAAAAGGTAAATGACAAATGTTGGAGGGGATGTTGGAAAAATGAGACATTAATACCCTGTTAGTGGAGTTGTGAACTGATTCAACCATTCTGTAGAGCAATTTGGCACTACGCCAAAGGGCTATAAAACCATGCATACCCTTTGACCTAGAGATGCCACTAGTAGGTCTGTATCCCAAAAGAAATAAAAAACAAAAAGGAAAAGGAGCTATATGTACAAAAATATTTATAGCAGTTCATTTCTGGGGGCAAAGAATTAGAAATTGAAGGGACGAGCACCAATTGAGGAATGACTGAACAAGTTGTGGTATGTGATTATGATGGAATACTAATGTACTATAAGAAATGATTAGCAGGATGCTCTCAGAAAAACCTGGAAAGACTTACATGGGCTGATGTGAAGTGAAATGTACTGTATACAAAGTAACAATATTGTAAGACGATCAGCTATAAATGACTTAGCTATTCTCAGCAATGTGACTCTGAAGAACTTGTGATGAAAAATGCTATCCATCCCCAGAGAAAGAACTGATGGTGCCTGAATACAGATTGAAACATATTTTTCTTTATTTTTCTTGAGATTTTTTTGTCTATATTTTCTTTCACAACGTGACTATTTTGGATATGTTTACATGACTATACATGTATAACCTATATCAAAATACTTGCCTTCTCAGTAAGGGGAGAGGTGGGAAGGAGAGAATTTGGAACTCAAAGTTTTAAAAATGAATGTTGAAAATTGTTTTTACATATAACTGGGAAAAAATTTTTAAATACTTTTTAAAAAAGATGATTTTTTAAAAAGTAGCTAGATGGCTCAGTGGATAGAATGCTAGGCCTGGAATCAGAAAGACCTGAGTTCAAATATAGCCTCAGACATTTAATAGCTTTTTAGACCCAGGATAAATCACGTATCCTCTGTTTACCTCAATTTCCTCAAATGTAAAATGTGGATAATAACAGCACCTATAAAACTGGCAGAATTGTTGTGAGAATTAAATAACATCATATTTGCAAAGCACTTAGCACATAGTACCAGGCAAATTGTAGGTGCTATATAAATGCTAATTCTCTCACTCCATTAGAAAAGGAGTCCTCAGTCCATTTCCCCTTCCCCTCTCCCACAGAAAATTGAAGGTCAAGTGAAGTACTAGGATTGTACTGCTCAGCTCTGCCAATATTCAGCATTTACATCCAAAAATGAACACTATTGCAAATGAGAGAAAATTTCCTTTCACTCACACTAAAAACAACTCTTCAATCATTTCCACTCTGCAAAGTCCCCCTGAAGCATTGTCTTACATGAGGTTTTTGGGGGGAGGAAGCAGTGTTTTTAGTCTTACTGGGGAACCCAAATCATGAAAGTCATGACTAGATCTCTGAAGGGACCAAAATTTGAGATTTCCCCTGCACCCCACCTTGCATTTGAAAAGCTCATCTGGATTTCAATGACTACTTCAAGCCTCTTTCCCATGCCAATCCATCCTCCATTCAGATGCCAGTTATTTTCCTAAAGCATAGATCGAACCATGTCACCCCTCTAACTCAATAAAATCCAATCACTTCCTGTTACCTCCAAGATTAAATATAAAATCCTCTGCTTGGCAT